TTATGTTTGTTTGCTTTTCACAGAAAATAACATGGCGCCGAAATTACAAACGTCAGCCAGAAAATTACTTTTTCTTTTGCTTCATCTTGTTAGATCTTGTGTAGTTGGATCATGGGTTTCAACCACTTGAAATAATTCAATATTTTTATACTGAGTGAAACAATGGGCGCATTTATAAGACGTAGCTATTTCCCAACCGTTGGCTATTTGTCTTAGAAACGCACAGTTGAGTAGATACGCTCAGCCCAACAGTTGGCAACTTTCCGCCATTTTTTCCAGCGGAAAATTTTTACGCTACCTGAACTCAACGTGTTGGGCTTAGCATAAACAGCTAATCGAAAAGACTTACGCCGCTTATATTAAATTTAACGCCGCTTTGTTAGGTGGCAATTGTAAACAAATTTATTATATTTTATATTACTACATGTTTTTCAGATGTTTGCTATATAATTTTACACTGTTTAATTCATTTTAACATTAAACGATTTTTTCAACACGGCGGCCGCTCAGCGTTGAATTCTAAATAGTATCAGCGCAACTATCTCTATTTATTGCAATTTCATTTGTTTACATTTATCAGCTGTTCGTTTGGCAGCATATATTCATTAAGCCGTTTCTAAGACGTAATTGTTGGGGTTCAACAGTTGCCAGCAGTTTCATAGCAGATGAGCTAAACAGCTACGTCTTATGAACGCGACCAATATCATTAAAATATGACAAATAATTCACAGGGGTCATATTGTTGTATGTTGTAAACTTTTCTTTTCTGCGGCATTGCGTTAATCCACTTGTGTGCTGACGACGTTAAAAATTTGTTGTTACACACCTTGTTTTGTGCCGCTCAAATGTAATTTGAAATGTCAACGCAACAGAAAAGTAGCGAGTTTGTTTACTTTTGACGCCAACTGCTTTGATGCATTAGTAACGGCGTCGTCTGTAATGCAAATACATGTATTCAGGGCCAGTTTTTCAGTGCACGGCCGTGGTTTAAACTAAGTTTGACGGCGCCATTAATATTCTCCATGAAACGTATGATTAGTTCAATGGCGATTTTAAACAAAAACTTGTTAAAAATAGGGACGGTAATCATTATGAGTAAAGTTAGTTAAATCATCATTCAATCATTATGGTATTATTTTAATTTTTTTCACTTAAAAATAATAATTATTATTGAGTTTTATTTTTTTGCTCAAAGATAATAATTGTTATAGGATTTTTATTTTTCCGATCACAAATAAAATTATTTTTTAATTTTTTTGCTTAGAGACAATAATTATTTTTGAGTTTCATTTTGTAAGTCGAAAATAATGATTATCTATAAATTTAAAAGGCCATACAGACGCAACCAAGATAAATTTTTACCTGAAAGTTTTTGGACTCGGATATCGCACTGGTATAGCTTTCGAGTTTTTTTTTTTCGTTGTTTTTGATCGAAAAAAATAAAAATCAAGTAAAAATGATTTCCTTTGAGCGAAAAAATTATACTCAATTATTAATTATTATCTTTATTCTTTATTGGTTAAATTCGTAAAATAAAAAATTATTGTAAATTCCAGTAGGAAAACGAACACAAATACGTGAGTATATTTATAAGTGTTTTACGACGATGACGAAATAGTTTTTTTTTTTGTTGAAATTTAAAAAATAATGATCATTTTCCGTCCCTGGTTAAAAATTATTTAAGAAATAAAAAAATAACAAAAACAAATAACTTAAGGATGAGCACACCTAAAAGTTAAACATTCTAATAATAGAAATATTAACAAAAACCAACAAAACCAACAACCACATGATCAAGTGAATTGCAGCGGAATAGCTGCGCTTGATTTTAGTTGACTTAGCAAAGAGAAATAGTGGAAAATAAGCAACAAGAATTAACAAGACAAACTTAGCACAGTGCGTAGGCAACTGGCTGAGTCAGTGGTGATCGTCGGTTCGAATCCTACTGAAAGAAGTTTGATGAGGAAATGTGATGATTTCCGAAATAGCTATCACTTCTACCATTTTTTCAAATTATTGTTGCTTTTCCACAATAAGTTTTGACTAGAAACGGCCTCAAGCTCATAAAAATTGTTGAATATAAATAAAAAAATGGCCTCAAGCTCATAAAAATTGTTGAATGTAAATAAAGAAATACAAATAATTTTATAGAGTGGCTGTTCGTTAACCAATACTAAATTGTTACGATTATCCTCGAAACCTTGAGGGATTTCCCAAATACAC